TAAGGGGAAGAGGTTGGCTGACGACATGTTACGGCTCCCGTTGTGGAACCTGTGCCGCTGCATTTTTAGCTGCTGACCGATGATCAGTTCAGCGCTGACATCCTTTCATTGAAATGGTTTAGATCCGAAACCGATAAGCAAACAGTCAAGGCTATAATAAAAAAAAAACCTTGATGATACCTACGATTACTGAGAGCGCTAGAACGGCAGGAATGTGCTTCAGTTGTTCCTCCTCCAGGGCGAGGCGAGCTTCCTACAATCCGTAACGCTTCGGGAAATCGGGAGTCTCGAACTTGGGAGGGCACCTAAAGCACGACAAAAGGCTTCGAGCGGGAGCTGAAGGCATCCGAAAAAGAGGAAAGGTGCCTCGGCATTCTTAACCTGTCAGTGACCAGACAAAACCTTCCTTAGTGGGAAAAGCCGCGATCGCTAAAGCTTACATTAGGTTTAGCTAACTCTAAACGAAAGCGTTTCATTTGACTCAGTTCATGTCCCACAAAAGCGTGACCATAATCTAAGACAGTTATACCTAATGAAAAACAAATTACGGAATATTTACACATGAAGGACGGAACACGTAGACACTACGGACGCGGAACATGCATGCTGTCCATGTTCTTTCCTTTTTGCGTAATTCTTTAGTAAAATGCTATCCAAAAACAAACGCAATATCCAAAAACGGTAGAAAAAAAAAATTTAGGTTCCTGTCAAATTCCTGTGACGAGGAATCTGTGCATGATTAATACTCGCCATGAGATTGCTCAATGATCTCAATACGAGGGTTTGCTTGAACAAGAACTCTCCCTCCTCAGAGTGAAACAATGAAACGTACGTTCACCCGCTAAATTTAACGGGCTTGCGACTCGCTGAATTTAACCTGACGGATGTACACTTCATCCGTGACGTCACGTCTTATAAACCTGTAAGCCAAAAAGATGAATTCTTCTCCGATAACAATGTGCCGTCCGTTTTAACACGCTACCCAAAGACCAAATCAATGGTACCCCCTTAAATAACAACGTGGGTTATATTAAAAGAAATATGTTCACTGACCATGGAACGCTTCAAACATGTAGGAGCACATCTTTGAGTTTTACATGTTAGGCTTGTCCAACTGCTCATCCGCAGTTTCCTGGTAAGTCTGGTTTTCTAGCGGATTCGGCTAAGGCAGAGGCCCTGCAACAGCCAGCTGATCATAGTTTTTTTTTTTTTTTTATATACTACAGCGCCGGAAAACAGAAACATACGTGAATATTGGTCAATCGCTCATTGCAATATATTTGAGGGAAATTTAAAACAGCCACAAAATTATGACGATGATCCGATATACATGGCTTGCACATGACGCACTCTCCCCTCCCCCCCCCCCCCCCCCTCCACATCAGAACCATCAGTATCCTGTTTCACCTGTGGCAGCTGCGCTGTCACAAGCCAAAATCGTTTACATGTCTGATTAAACGACATTACAGGAAAGGCAAAAAAAAAATGTCTAAAGATCGGGAACGCGTCATTCAAGCTCCAATGACTTCAATTACTTACATCGATTCTATAGTATTATTATAGATTGTAGGCATACTGCCTTGTATTTGTTTACCATACCTTAGTCTGTAACAGGTCAAGAGTTCGCCAAATGCTCCGCCTCCCTCGCGCTCCTTGATACACATTTAAGACACCTTGTTAGCGGGCGATTTTCACCGGCGAATGTGACCCTCGACAGAAAAGATACAATTCGCCACATTGGGGGGAACAGACTAGGTCCGTGCAACGAGCTTTGAACCTGGTATAACGAGGTGGGACCCGACCCTGGTATGGACGATGACTTCACCGCCGCGACTGGCCATACCACGAAGAACTTACATTCTTGAACGTATAGGTACGCCTCACCCAACGCCAAATTAGGTCTCTTCACCGAAGACGTGCCGCCCTCCACCGCGGCTTTCACAAACGAACCTCGCCAACACCGCGAAGCTCAAAACTAACGCCCGACCACAGACCACAGGCGTACCCTAATAGGGCAAAACCACGTCAGAGAGAGCAAACAAGTTCAGACGCCCCATGACACACGCTCGCCGATGCTCCGTCATGATTAGCGAAGCCCCTTTCTTTTTTCTCTGTCTTTCTTAACACAACTAGCAAACGAGGGACCCCCAATGGACATCCAATGCAGAAACAACAAAAGAAAAACATCTTTTGAAGCAGACAGCGTGTGACACATCCCAGTATAAAAAGAGAAACAAGAGACACATCCAGAACCAATCCATCCTGGACCAAATTCCTGCGCGCGCACAAGCGCACCTTGCATCGACCCTAGCTTGACGTCCTCCAGGCAGCGGAGTGATGGATTGGACTCCGAACAGACATCTCCGGAGAACCCCAATGATCGCGCTGACAACGATGCGTCCCTGGCAGGGGTACGTGCTTTCCAATATCTCTTACGGCCTTGCGTGCCGTTGCTGTTTCTTCTTTCAAGCACGACGTTTCGGTTCCTTTCATAGTACCCCTCCCGTCTTTAGTGATCGTGCGTGTCTACAAAATGCTACAGTCAACAAGTGTTAGCGGTCAAAGGCGAGGCATCTAGGGTAGCCTCAGCCTTGGATTCTATTTGTAGAGTCGCAATCGTTCCCATGTACGGCGGGGTTCACGTTGATTTGGCTGTTTTAGTTCTCTGCTGCTGGGAATGGTCGGGCGGTGGACATACCAGCCCCATTGTGCAAGTCATGCAGACCCGAGGACGCGCCTTGCGGGATTGTTCGTGGCGTGAATAGCGGAGAGGAGGTGTCGGTAATTGGCAACCGAGTTAGGACGTCCAGAAGACCTCTCCTTTGTGAGGCCGTCCCGATGACTGGAACCAATTTTAGAAGGCGCTGGTTGGCCCCGTGGAAACAGCATCGGGTCGGACGGGATTGTTGAAAGAACGTGCTTAGTAGGAGGTGACGTGACGGCGACGGCTGCATCTTTTATCCTTCTTGAAGTCGTGATTGCGTGCGTGCGTGTGCGCTTGGGTATCTCGTGCTCTTTCGCGTGCTTCTTGAGTTTGCAAGTTGTTGTCGAGGTGGCAGTTAGTTCCTGATGGCGAAAGAACGGTCCATGTTTCTCGTGACTAGGAGACATCGAAAAGGAGTCAAGAATGCTCCAGACGCCTGCAGGGAATTGTAGGTGCGCAGTCTAAAGATATCTCCTTTGGCAGCTACAGCCACGTGTGACGTATTCAAACAAGTATATTTTACTTAAACACGTTGTATCATCTTTTTCTTTTTCACCATCATTGTTTATTTCGTGCTAATCAGCATTCCGTAATAATAAAAAGCACACCGATAAAACGCTTAGTTAGAAAAGCATTTGCAAAGCAACGTTTGAGCACGATCTCAATGACTCTGCATCAGGCTAGATCGCCCTTGAAGGGACACTGACAGGGTATTTATGCTCGCCAAGGTTTCTAGTTGTACATGACATACGAAAGCCCAACTATCTAGAACACAATGGACTTCTTCCAAAACCGACGCGCCCCATCGAGGCGAAATGCCACGCAGTGCACTCTGGGAACTAGTTGGCCACTCAGTTTCGGTTTCGACTGAGCAGCTTCATCTCATGCTATCACGCCGCGACCGAACGCGCTGCTTGCGTTTTCGATTATCTGACTTTTCACGAACGTACAATACACTCATTCTCGAGCGATACAAAACGAAGACCGGGGCACTTTCCTTGGTTCCCGAAACACCGGATATTGTGCGTGCGTAGAACGTAGTAAGTCGTGGCTTAGTCACCTCACCCGACGAGTGCATCTTTGACCTCAATGTCAGTAATCCCGTCTAGTACCAGTGAACTACAACTGAAATTTGTTCGTCTGGAGCCTTACACACATTTTGTTTGCCAAACGTCTAGTAAATGTTGGTTCGTTCGTTGTTGGTACTTTGGTCCTGCCAAGTTTTGCAGGCCGATGGTCTTTGAAGTTCTCAGGAGGCGATGGAGACTTTGCGAGTTCTTTGGCGAACCAATTTATTTTACAAACTATGTACATCTGTACAAAGTAGGGTAAGTTGGCATACTCGGATCGAACAGGTCTAACAGATCTCCAAATCAGTCCAAAATCGACCTCCCTCGCCCCGTCCGGGGCTTTTGAAGGCACTCACTCCCTCACCCTCAGGGAAGTCTTAACCAATGGTTTCAAACTTTTTCAAAGTCACGGGGCGTCAGCCCTCCAATGGTCAGCTGGGGGCCGACCCGGCCGTTCATCAAGTTTGCAACGGCCACGGCTGACAGCTCCGTAACATTGGCACAGCCTTGGGTTCCAGACAGGGTGGCGCCGCACCAGAGCTCTTGGCCCGAAACTCGATCGTCGCCAGCGTACCCTGTGGGACGCTGGAGCACACAAGAAAACACGCGCACACACAAAACAAAACGTCCCCTTCGCGGAAGAGACAACGTCTTCGCCGCGGGGTGCCTGCTCGAGAGGACCGCGGTCACCCGTCGAAAGTAAAGAAAACAACGACAGCCAGGGTGCGTCCGCTTCCCCTCTTCCCCACACCCCCGCGCGGCCGTAATGAGGACCACCCGGTGAGGGGGTCCCTCGCGACTCCTTTACACCTCCCCACCAAGAGTGTTTCTGGTCCTTCTTGGACCTGCTAACAGTTTTATTACCCCTCCCCCAAGACAAACCCCCCCCCCCCCCAAAAAAAAAAAAAAACAACCATAAAACAACGACACAGAACTGCGGAAAACCAACACGGTTATTTCCGCGACGATCACAATGCCCGTACACATGGGCTGGCACAGAAAATAAAAGCACAAGTTATCACAAAACCAAAAGGCGAGCCACGCCGATAAACAGCTTACAATGCTTAAAACAATCAAAGAAAAAATGCACTTGGCGCGAAGTAACAAACGGCATACAACACTGACAGCAGCTCTCTCTGCTTCCCGCTTAAATGGAGGGGCAAGTCACGTTAAAAATAATTAAAAGAAATGCATGATTGCTCCCCCAAGCGCTTATGGCTCGGCGCCTAGCTCGTCTCACCTCCCAGTTCGGAACGGGCGCCGGCCGTGTCGCAGGGCTCCCAACATTCGTTTGCAATTCTGGACAAGGCGTCCGCGTTCCCGTGTCTAGAGCCCTTCCGGTGCACGACTTTGACGTCGTACCTCTGGAGAGCCAGAGCCCACCTCGTTATCTTTGCACCGTGAGGGACGCTTAGCGTCAGATACGTCAGGGGATTGTGATCGGAGACCACCGTCACGGAGGCGCCGAATAGCCATACATCGAACTTTTTCAGACTCCAGATTACCCCGAATGCCTCTCGTTTGATCGTGGACCACCGCATCTGAGTGGGCGTGAAGCGGTGACTTGCGAACGCGACCGGATTTTCTTCCCCGCCCTCTCCCAACTGCGCCAAACATGCTCCCACCGCGATAGCCGAGGCGTCGGTGTAAAGCCAATACGGCCTTTCCGGATCGGGCGTGTACAGCGCCACCGCGTCACACAGCGCCTTCTTGAGTGCCACGAATGCCTTGTCAGCCGCATCTGCCCAGGGCAGTAGGTTCGGGACCCTCTTACTGGTTAGCTCGGTGAGCGGTTTCGCGATCTCCGCATAATTCGCTATGTAGTCCCTATAATACCCGCATAGCCCCAGCGCGCTACGCAGCTCCCGCTTAGTGGTAGGGACCAATAGGCCCTCGATGGCGGCCAGTTTTGTCGGGTCCGGCGCATGCTTGCCGGACCCCACCACGTGGCCGAGGTACCTGATCTCAGGCTTAGCCACCTGGCATTTCTCTACGTTTGCCGAAAGGCCGACCTGCTCTAACGCCGTGAAAACTTCTTCCAGGTGTGCCGCGTGCTCATCTAAGGTTCCACTAAACACGGCGATGTCATCAAGGTACGCGCAGGCATAGCGTTCATGCCCGCGGAGTACCGAGTTCATGATCCGCTGGAACGTTGCCGCGGCGTTTTTTAGCCCGAAAGGCATGACGCGCCACGCGAACTGCCCCTGGTGGGTCACGAACGCCGTGGCCAGCTGCGACTCACTCGCGAGGGGCACTTGCCAGTATCCCCTCCGTAGGTCGATCAATGTGACAAAGTTGGCTCTACCGACGCGCATGATTAGGTCATGTGGGAACTGCATCGGGAATGCGTCCGTCGTCGTCACCGAGGTGAGTTGTCGATAGTCGACGCACAGGCGCACCGAGCCGTCCTTCTTCGCCACACACACGACGGGATGGGCGAAAGGGCTCTCGCATTCGTAGATCAGCCCCGTCTCTAGCAGTTCGTCGGTCTGCCGCTCGACCTCTCCCCTCAGCATTTCGGGTATGCGGTAGGGGTAGGCCCGCTTCGGCACGTACCCCGGGTCTAGCGCTACGCGGTGTTCTCCCACCTTCGCTATACCCGTGTTGGGCGAGAAGAGCCGGCGGTGTCTGTCGAACACCGCGCGAACGATGTGCGCGTCTCGTCCGAGATGAGCCGTTTGATCCTCTGGAAGTTGCGCCTCTTGACACGACCTCACTTTTTGTGGGGTACATTCTATGTCCCCAAAGTCATCATCTTCCTGAAACGCTACGCCAATGCCTTGAACGCGGCAGTTGTATGGTCGTAGTTTGTTGGCGTGCACCAGCTTGCGCTTACCGTCTGGCATGTCTACGTAGTACGAATGATCTCGAAACTTTGCTCGGATACAGCATGGCCCTATCCATTTCGGGTACATCTTGCCTGGACAGGCTGAGTCGAATACCAACACTTGTTCGCTCACTTCAAACGATTTCGGGGAGGCTCGTTTGTTGTGCTGTGTCGCGTACGCGTTCTGCCGGGCTGGTGCCGTCAACGAGGCTTCCTCCGCGGCGCGCTCGATTTGGATCTTTAGTTTGCGTAAGTACTCCGCCGGTGCCTCCCTTAGTGTCACGGGTATCGGGATGTCCCCCGTCCAGGATTGCTTCAACACTGTCAACGGGCCAGTGGGGCTTCGGCCGTACAGCATCTGGAAGGGTGACACTCCGGTGGTATCATGCGGGACCTCTCGGTATGCCCACAGCAGGAACGGAACGAACCGATCCCAGCCGCGGCCCTCCGTCTCAATGATATGGAAGAGCATGTTCTTGAAAACCCTATTCCAGCGCTCGACGGCGCCGTTGCTTTCTGGGTGGTCAGGGGTTGAGAATCGAGGGCAGCAGCCGAGTCGCGCCAGAAACTCCCGCGTGAGCTGCGCAGTGAAGTTTGTTCCACAATCGGAACTAATCACACTCGGGATGCCCGTCCTGCTGAAGATAGAAAGCAGCGCATCGCAGGTCTCTTTCGCTGACAGTGACCGCAGGCACACTACCTCCGGCCAGCGAGTGCACAAATCGATAACGCAAAGTGCGTACCGGTGCCCTCTCGCGGACGGCGTGTCGAGCGGCCCGATCACATCAATGTTCACCTGTTGGAATGGGAACTCGGGTCTTGTCAGCGGAATGATCGGTATGCGATCGCTCTTTCGTGGGTCGGACCTCAGCTGGCAACCATGGCAGCTCGAGCAGTGCAACCGGAGGTCGCCCTCGATTCCCGGCCAGTAGAAACTGTATTTGACTCGCGCCTTAGTTTTCCGGAACCCCAGGTGCCCTCCCCAGCATGACTCGTGGGCCAATATCATAACCTCGGGTCTTCGCTGAGCTGGAAGGACGAGCTGATAAACCCTTTGACCCAGCAGCTTGTCTTGGTGAAATAGCAACCCGTCTCTGATTAGCATACCGGCACGTCCCTTGCGGCCGTTTGCCCACGCTTCGCGCAAGGAGGGATCCCCCAGTTGTTGTTCGCGGAACTTCGACCGCTCTGCGAGCGCGTCCTCCGTTTCAGTCTCATCCGTCTGTGACAAAGAACTCGTCTCGGCGCGGTCCTCAGCCTCTGCTTCGCTACAGTCCCCTCTGGTTTCTACGCCTTCCCCGGGCTCCCCTGCAGGACTGCTAACCGCCGACGGCACCGCCTCCCCCACCGCCACGCTTGCCACCGTTCCGACCGGCGCGTCCGCGTGTATTGCTCCAAGCAGTGTCTCCCATGCCTCTCCGGAAAGTAGGCAGTCAGTGCGAGACGTGAGTCGGTCGGTCAATGCGCAGAGAATAGGCGCCGTTTCGCGAACTTCAGCAAAAGGAGAACCCCTGTCGAGGAAAGCCAAGGGCAGCAACACCAGACTCGCCTCCACAGATTCCCCGAAAGCAGATTGTAGGCAGATCTTGCCGCAAGGCGTCCTGAGCTCATCGGGCACCATGGCCTCCCTCACCACGGTTATGTCCGCTCCAGTGTCGAGAACGGCGTCGAGCTCGCGTCCCCCACAAGCTATTCGGGCCGATATCAGCCCACTGGGCGGCGGCGAGCGCGGCTCCGTGGTGACCTGAGCAGTGAGCTTTTCAGTTTTAGATGGTGCCTTGCCGCTCCCGTTTGCCCGGCGACTCGTAGCGTGTGGACAGTCAGCTCTTAAGTGGTCCAAGGAGCCGCACCCGTAGCATTCTTTCCGCTGGCCCGTACCCAGTCTAGCGGCCGGACTTCGCGTGAATTTCGTCGTAGCCGCGGCTCCCCCGTTTTTTGCTCTGCCCGATCCCCCTGAGTCCTCTGCGTCAACACTCTTTGACGCAGCGCCTCTACCCTCGGCCTGCTCGTAGAGCCTCATCAGCCGGCTCAGCTCCGGCGCCCTGTGCCAGCTAGGGTCCTCTTTCAGGGTGACGTAACTCAGCGCCTCAGGCGACATCCTTGCCTTCAACTGGTCAGCCACGAGAAGGTCAATTAAGTCGCCTTTAGTCTGAATTCCCCTCGCTTCTAAGTAGAAGTGGAGATAGCTGCGCAGCCGCGTGGCGAATGGCATCCACGCCTCTTCCCTCCTTTTGGTGGCGTTAAGGAATCGTTTTTGGTACTCACCGGGCGCGAGCTGCAACTCTTCGAGTACGGTCTCCTTAACTCGAGCGTAGTCGTTGAGCTCCGCCGCGGTGAGTCGCGTGGCCAAATACCGAACTTTTTCAACCACGTGCGGGAATATCAACTGGCCCCATATAGCCCTCGGTACGCGATATGTCACGAAGATGGTCTCTACCGCCTCGAACCACACGGGCACCTCGGCTTCTGATGGGAATTTCTGAATGACGCCCGACAAAGCTTTAGAGAAATGTCGCAGGTCATCCTGCTCTCCACGTTCGCCTGTCTCCGCCGGTCTGCCCCCCTCGGCGCGGCGGTTGGCCGATCGAACGCGCTCGAGCTCCATCTCGAGCTCGAGAATTTTTATGCGCTCTCTCGCTTCCTCAAAGTTGAATTCGCTTTGGCGCTCGCTCACCAACGTCGTGGTGCTCCCGCCTTCCCCCGACGTCCCTTCGCGTCCATCGTCCCTCCGGTGCGTTTGTCCGGATTGAAATGCCCGAACCTCGTAATCATACGCCCTGCCCCGGCCTACTGCGACACGACCACTCCCCTTCCAAAAAGGGAAACAAGACTGAGCTTACTACTTTGCAGGTCCGCGTGGGGTCCGTGCCAGTGTAGCTTGCTTGCTGGTCGTCCGTGCCGCCGGCTCGATGACTCCGTCGTGAACAGGCTGATCCCCGCAGGATCAGAGGTTCACCCGACGAGCGACTTGCCCTGGGACACGCACAGGACTCTGCCGGCCCTCGCCACCGGCTCCTCTGGCTGGGCTCCCAGGATCTCACTCGCTTGGACGCACAACTCCTTCGGTTCGTCAGGAACGCTTGACTCTCGTTCCCGGGACGTAGCTTCGCTCGGGACAGGTTCAGGACTCCGCTGGTCCTAGCCGCCGGCTGTGCTGGCGCGGGTTCCCGGGGTCACGTGATGGTCCGCCGTGGGCGCCGTCCTCTCGCCTGCACTTGAGTCTCCTTCGTGATCTTCAGTCGCCTCCGCAGTTTTCAAGACCATCCATGCCGACTGCGCCAGGCTGTGTTGGTTCGTTCGTTGTTGGTACTTTGGTCCTGCCAAGTTTTGCAGGCCGATGGTCTTTGAAGTTCTCAGGAGGCGATGGAGACTTTGCGAGTTCTTTGGCGAACCAATTTATTTTACAAACTATGTACATCTGTACAAAGTAGGGTAAGTTGGCATACTCGGATCGAACAGGTCTAACAGATCTCCAAATCAGTCCAAAATCGACCTCCCTCGCCCCGTCCGGGGCTTTTGAAGGCACTCACTCCCTCACCCTCAGGGAAGTCTTAACCAATGGTTTCAAACTTTTTCAAAGTCACGGGGCGTCAGCCCTCCAATGGTCAGCTGGGGGCCGACCCGGCCGTTCATCAAGTTTGCAACGGCCACGGCTGACAGCTCCGTAACATTGGCACAGCCTTGGGTTCCAGACAGGGTGGCGCCGCACCAGAGCTCTTGGCCCGAAACTCGATCGTCGCCAGCGTACCCTGTGGGACGCTGGAGCACACAAGAAAACACGCGCACACACAAAACAAAACGTCCCCTTCGCGGAAGAGACAACGTCTTCGCCGCGGGGTGCCTGCTCGAGAGGACCGCGGTCACCCGTCGAAAGTAAAGAAAACAACGACAGCCAGGGTGCGTCCGCTTCCCCTCTTCCCCACACCCCCGCGCGGCCGTAATGAGGACCACCCGGTGAGGGGGTCCCTCGCGACTCCTTTACAGTCTGCTTCTTGTTACTTCATTGGGCGAAAAGCAAGCCGCATCCTCACGGGGTATCGAAGTTGAGGCCAGCGTTTACGCATGAACTTTTAAGGAAACGCAATAAATTCGACCTCACTACTGCACAAAAGTTACTACGATGTCTTCCTCCTGTCAGCATATATCCCCCACTCAAATTTTATGCTGATAGAAGATTAACTTTCCGCAAACGCTGAGATCGGCCGGCTACGACTTAGGCCCTAACAAGCGTCCCCCCTACTCCTCGCTAAGCCTTTTTGGACGAGCTTTTACTGACGCCCGAGATCTGTGCCGGGAACGGTGTGTCTGAAATTATCTCGGCATACTCAGGCAGGAAAAAAGCAAACACATAACAAATATTATGGCCATTAGCAACCGTAAAATGCGCTTTGAATTTTTTCGAGCACTTGTGTGAAGAATGTCGCACCGTGCGCCGGACGGGCATGAACCCCAATGCGGTGCGCATAGGGGTTCATGCCGTCTGACGCACTTCCGGCGAACGGTGCGACATTCTTCACACAAGTACTCGACTTTTGAATTCTTAAAACGGTCTGTATGCTCGAATTAGCCTATATGATTGCAGGATAACTTTATGCGCATTTGCGATGTTGAATATTAGTGGAATGCAAGCGGGTGGGGACTTCACTTCGTGCAGTGCTGCGGGTCAGTACAGATAAGAGATAAGTGTGTTGAAATTGAGCTTTTCAATGGCACCTCCGAGTTTTACCTCGCATACCCAGGCACATTAAGAAAAACAGTAATTGCAAAAAGTAATATTTAGTCTATGGACGCACGAAGCAAACTTCCTGATCAAAAACACTAATGTAAAGGCGCGAGCTCGATGTATGCATACTTATTGTTTGCTACAGCTTGTTGTTTCGTACACAAGCAAGATCCCCGAGCACCCGAGCTTCGCAGCGTCGAGACTCCCAGCACTGGCTCGTCCACATACCTCGATTGAAACGCTAACAGGAAGGCTTAAGTACAAAAATACAACAAGCATGTGTTAAGACAAGCTATACGTCTCGGGCTTGTGCTAAAGCTTCGAGGCCTGACCATTTAGGTTAGTTTAAAGACCACAAATGACGCTCTTGGGACCAGAAAACAGTCTCTTGTCGACGTGTCGATCGAAACCGAAACCATGCCACCCTCCTCTCTGGCCAACTAGTTCCCAGAGTGCAACGCGCGCCGTGTTGCATGCAGGGCTTTATGGAAGTAGTCTATTCGCGGCTAGAAATTCGTTCTTTTTCCGCCCGAAAAAAGTCGATCGAGAATTCGCCGGTGTGAGTCGCGCTCACTCTCTTCTCTGTGGTCACATGCTGTTTTCTTCGGTTTAGACACAACTACCGAATATGATCAAAGTGTGTGTGTGTGTGTGGGGTGGGGGGGGGGTCATCGAAGACAAGTACTTAATACTTAAAATAAAAAAGAAATATTATACCCATTTTTTGGTGGCTTCTAAAAAGCCGCAATTACGTTGATTGAAGAAAACAAAAAGTTGCACAGCTACGTGACTTCCCCCAACTCTCTCCTCTCCAATATTTACTCTTCCTCCCCAAGTCCAGTTTCAACTTCAATTTCGACCAGCTGCATTATTTTAATTTTGTTTTTACTTTATTAAAATATACGTGACCCGCTATAGCAAAATATGAATAATTAGTAAACTACACGTCTCCGTGGGCGCCACACTTCTTGTTCCTGTTTCATTTTAGGTTAAACCGCCCGATTAATATCCTCAGAAAGGCAGCCAAATGCTATGGGCTTTCTGTACTTTATGCTACACACCGACACAGTGCTTACAAACGAGCCCGCCTTGCCCACATCAAATCTCGGCACTGCGCATGCGCAGAAACCAAATTCGGAAGGAGTAAAGCGTCTGCGCATGTGCAGTACCGACAGCAGCGCCACCTTAGTGGCGTGAGTCATGACGTCAGTGAGTTGGGTTGGTCTATACTCCGTTTTACCCTACGTCCAAGCGCAGCGGATGTTAGGCGCCATCGGAGCCAATCCGAGGTCGTCTGAGCGTCACGTGATTTCAGAGAGGGGGCACAACAGCGACGCGTGGAACGCGTATTATGCACGGGCTGCGTCCACGAAATGGGATTGGCTAGGATATGTCGCAGCGTCCGCTGCGTCCACGGACGTAAGTACGTGAAACGGAGAATAGGCGGGTTCTTCTCTAGTATATGAGAGCGTGGTGACGTCACTCGCCACGTCGCAAGCTGCCGTCGCCGCGGCGGCCTGCGCAACAGTAATCTTTACCGAGAAACGTATGCGGTGAGCGCTACGTGCCTCACGTGGGTGTCGGGAACGCCTTATCATCAATTATCTGGTTCAAATGCTTGTTGTTTATTGAAATGAATGCTGTGCTGTATGTTGTACGTTTGATGCATGCACTTTTCTCTTCAATTGTTGCAGTTTTACTTTTTATTGTTTGTTTTCTTTTTTCTTGAGGACGCCGACGCGAAAAGAATCCGACCAACGAGTCATATACAGCTTCGGTGTAAAAGGTGACGAGCGCCGTGACGAAGCACTTTTGATGTTGCTTGATTGGCTACATAGGAATATAGCTCATACATACCTGAAGATGTGTGTCTCAGTCTCCTTTGACACCCCTAATTGTGTCAGTCATAGTCAATAATGCCCCTGATTACCAGGGACGAATGTTCGTTGATAAAAAGTGCAAGTATTACTTTCCCCGCGAAAATAAACGAAACCGCGCATTGTGCGTCTCAAGCACAAAGTGTACTTGTCGAAGCTGTTTGCTCTTCACTAACTTGCAGTCAACAAAGTTACTTGATGGCACAAGTGAAACTGCGGTCTCGAAACCACCTTCACAGAAATCATATAGTATAGACCTTTTCATTTTAGTGGTTGCCTCACCGGCGGATAGAGGGCGCTGACGCTCTCGGCGCCATTAGGTTGCTTCAATTTGGTTGGTTTCAGTTTCAACGTGAACGTGGCTATGTTGCTGTTTTACGTTGTTTCTGCTTAATTTTGTGATACGATTATTTTGCTTGTGGCGCACAACCAATGAAACAGTGGTATTGAGCCACTTTTAGGATTACGAGGTGTATTTTAGCCTAAATTGCGGGCTTTTTTTACCTACTCCTTTATGTATCCGATTATGGTCGGTTGCGTAACGCCTTACTGATGTACAGTGAAGATTACCGTCGTCTATAGCCGTACCCGGTGACACCATTTTCAAGAAAAACAAACTAATGAAGAGACTAACACGTGAATGTAAAGAAGCATATCGACAGCTTAATTAGCAATATCTATGAGAAACAGCTTGAACGCTAAACACTTGCACAGAGACAGGACAGGACATACAGAGAGCTGAACTATCAACTATTTAATACTTCGTCTTCCTCCACCTCCTCTTCTTCTTAATCCCTTCGAGCATTCCACGATTGCGAGATATGAACTTCTTAGAATTTTTCAAACAGAACAAAGCATGGTGAGAAGTGCATATAAAAATAAATGGTAGACGAAAAAAAAAATGTCTAAAAAGTGCATCTTATCTCGCAGTTGTGGTATGCTCGAAGGGACTAAGAAGAAGAGGAGGTGGAGGAGGAAGTATTAAATAGTTGATAGTTCAGCTCC